TTGGCGCCATTATTTAGGGTATAGTAGACTTACAGTAAAGTCTACGTATATGTAGACGTCTATTTCAGTCTACATTAATTGGTGTTTATCAAAATAAATATTTTAAAATTAAAATTAACTAAGCGGGAAACGAAAATGAATTTTGGAGCCTATTTTTTCCTATTGGCGCCAATACTTACGGTAAATTCTACTTCGATAGCAGGCGTCTCTTTTAGTCTACTATAATTGGTGATTACAAAAAAAAAATATTTTAAAATTAAATTTATTTATTTATGAATTAAAATGTGAATTACAATTTTATCAAAAAAATATATACTAAGTCTATTAAATATATAATGAAAAAAAAATTTGATTATATATTATAAACTATTTAAACAATAAAGAAAAATATTATAGTAGACTTCTTTGGAAGTCTACCTAACCTAAAGTTTGACCAAAATAATTCTAACCAAACCAAAATTAAACCAAAGAGTTTTAACCTAACCAGAAAAATAACTTGACATATAAATACTCCTTCTTATTAAAAAAGGACCGACATAAAAAACAAGCTGCCTCTCTCTCTCTCTCTCTCTCTCTCTCTCATCCTTCTTCTCCTACGATGTTCCCCGGCGAAAGCTTCAGATCTCCGGTAATTTTTCAAATCTCGAGCTCTCTCTCTTCTCTGCAGACCCGAGTCACCTAACAATCTGTTTCTGTGTCTAGGGTTTTGATCGAGAAGCTCTGCGAAATCGACGGCAGCAAGGACAGGATCCGATTAGACGGCCTTTCTCCACCGGCGGCGATGAAGGAGAAACTTAACTAGATTCTAATTATCCCTCTTGTAAGTCTATCTCTTTATCTCTCTCTATACTCTGTTTCTCGCTATAGGGTTGTTCTTGTGTGCCTTCTCTCTCTTTTGTTTTAACTGGAAACGTACCTCGTGTCTCAAGGTTGGTTCCTTGTCGGAAATAGAAAGTTATTAACTTTTTGTCTATATGTTCCTTGTCTCTGTGTAGTCTGTTTCTGGAATCTCATGTTGGTTCATTTTTGTAGACTAGTTTAATCGAAATTAAATAACTTTTTTGATCTTGTCTTGTTGATGAGTGTGTGTCCTGTTTTCCTTTTGGTTTAATATTTGCAGTGTGAGGTGTTCAGCCTCTGGTGGAAATGGAAGTGCTGCAAAGAGAACTACTCTTCACGATCTGTATGAGAAGGAAGGCCAGAGTCCTTGGTATGACAATCTTTGCCGTCCCGTCACTGATCTTCTCCCTTTTATTGCCCGTGGTGTTCGTGGCGTTACTAGCAACCCTGCGGTAACATTAATTACCATCTCTTTCTCTTTGCTTTACTCTGTCTTTGTTCATTTTTTCCTTAACTCCTTCACTTGTGTAAAAACCTTTTGCAGATCTTCCAGAAAGCCATCTCCACTTCAAATGCTTATAATGATCAGTTCAGGTACTCCTTTACTACAACATGGATGCATATCTTTGACTGTCTTTGTTTTGCTTCTTATGTTTCTTTAGAGATTATTTCTGATCTGCTTTTGGATGGGAACTTTATTAGGACGCTTGTGGAATCAGGAAAGGACATTGAAAGCGCATACTGGGAACTTGTGGTGAAGGATATTCAGGATGCCTGTAAGCTTTTTGAGCCAATCTATGACCAGACAGAAGCTGAGGATGGATATGTCTCTGTTGAAGTCTCACCTAGGCTTGCTGATGATACCAATGGCACTGTTGAAGCTTCTAAATACCAGACAGTTACCATTGTAAGAGTATGTTTTGTTTCATACTCCTCGTTAACTTGATGTATACCATCTACCCCGTTTGTTTCTTGGTGATCTAAGCCGGAGGGAGCCATTGATATGAAGCGTAGATATGTTGGCCACTGTAACATTGGAACTGATATTAAACAAGCCAGTTTTCTAGGCCAGAGAGGTAGATTTTTTGTTTGGGTTTCAAGTTTTATGTAATCTGAATGGACTTCCAGTGTGGTAAAATAGTCTTGCATGATTGACTTGCTGTGAACATTTATTACCACATTTTAGGTGAATACATTGCGTGTGGAAGTGATGATGGTAGGTGGTTTATATGGGAGAAGCAGACGGGGAGGCTTATGAAAGTTCTTGTTGGCGATGAAGCAGGTTTTTTTAAATCACTTCCATTACATAAATATTTTTTTTTTTCTCGAATCTCATTAGTTGGCTAAAATTTCATTTTTATGTTTCTAGTTGTGAACTGCATTCAGTGCCATCCGTTGATAGCGTTGTAGCAACGAGTGGAATCGATAACACAATAAAGGTAAGCAATTTTACAAAAGCCAGCTATCCCTACAAATTTAATTGAAGACCTCTTAAACTAACATTTGGAAGTTGAAAAAATGTGTGTGAAGATGTGGAGTCCAATCGCATCAGTGCCATCGATTGTAGCGGGTGGATCAGCTGGACCTGCAACAGCCAATGTAGTGGAGGCAATGGAGAGTAATCAACAGAAGCTAAGCCGCAATAGAGAGAACCCTCTGTAAGATTTTTTGTGATGACTAAGCAAAGGCGGAAGGAATCAGAGTTCATAAATCTAATTTTGGTGTTTTGTTATCCATTTTCAGGCTGATAATTGTCCTTTGAGGAAGCTACAAATAGCGAAGCTTTTAAGTGGACATTGCATGGGAGCCCAATGTTTTGAGTGGAACATTGGAAGTGCAATTACAGACTTATTTGTGTAGACTTGTGTAATCATTTTTTTTAAGAACTCTAAAATAAGAGACTACTATTGTAGCCATAAAAAAGTGATATTACTTATTAGTCTTCTTTCGTGTAGACTTACTTGTATACACTTGTGTAATCAGTTTTTTTAAGAAACCTAAAATAAAAGACTACTATTGGAGCCATAAAAAAATGATGTTACTTATTAGTCTTCTTTCGTGTAGACTTATTACTTGACAAAGAAAAATATAACATAAATCTATCATAAGTTCAACACAGACTAAAGACCTACAAATCCAATAGAAGACAACTCAAAGCAATGAAACACTAATACACAACTCATAAGTTCGACACATAACACTAACACATCTAGAGTTTTTCACCACCCATTCTCTGTATACAATGAGTAATTGAGCCATCTCCTACAAAAAAAAAATATGGTTTACATAATTAGCAAACAAAAAT